GAAAAGGGGATGGGAAGAGTAAAGATTGTTAAGACAAAGAAAGAGGTTAGGGGTAAAGGTGGAGGAGAAAGAAAAGAGAAGTAATTAAATCAAGAAGAATAAGTAGGGAGATGGAATGAATAGGATAAAGGAAGAAAAAAATGAAGAGGAAAGGGAAGATAAGTGGGGGAGGGGGAGGGGGAGGCATCCGCAGAGGCGGCGGCGACGGGCCGGAGGCGGCGGCGAGGGCGCTCGACCGTGCAGCGGACGGCCTGTGCTCTGCTCGCCTGGAGGAGCTGTTCGCTGGCGAGAGAGAGACAGGCGGCTGCGCCTCGAGAAGCAAGAGGGGTGAGAGTAGGAGCTCGCCGGCGGCAGCGGCACCAGCAGCGACTCGCTGGGAGCCCTCCTGTCGGTCGACAGCGAGCACGCGGCGCACAGCCGGTCCATCGCCCAGTCCTCTCACAGGAGGAATGAACTGATGAAGGTGTGCAGCAAGCACGTGACGCAACCGGTGGTCGAAGAGCTCAAGGCGCGAGATGAGAGGACGCGCCGAGACGCGCCGAGACGCGCCGAGAGGTGAGGTAATCTCGCCGAATCTCGGCGATCCGGCGGACCCCCTCCCGGGGGCCGGCGGCGGAGCTCTCGCGTGTGCAAGGATGACATCGTCCTCTCGCCACCTGGTGTAACAACCGCCGTAGGCGGCGGCGGAGCTTCTCGCACCGCTGCTGGTGAGGGCGGATGCCGAGGTGGGGGTCACCTCGACGCAGCTGTACGACGGGAAGCTGGCCCTCTCGTACTTGGCTTTGCGCGCGCGCGGCGCCACTGGTGAGGCGACTATCTCGGCTATATCTCGGCTATGTCTCGGCTATATCTCGGCGCCACCGGTGAGGCGACGCACGCGACACACGCCCACTGCACAACCACTGCACACACGACCACTGCACACACGCAAAGCATTTCACGAGAGCAGTCACGCCAGGCAATGCCCCCCCCCCCCCCCCCCACCGCCCCTCGCAGGCGCGCCGTGCGCGGTGTTTGGCCTCTCTGCCGACGGATCCGGCATCGCCGCCCGCCCGCTCGTCCTCTTCGTTGTCGCTCAAGGGCTCGAGGCTTCGCCGCCAGCCAATAGGCATCGTCGACCGCCCGCTCGTCCGCGACTTGATCTTTGTGCTCATGTCGCTGCACTTGCCGCGCGGACAGAGGCACGCGCCTGCGACGGCGGAGCTCGAGGCCAAGGTCGCTGCGGCGATCGACGCGCTCAGGCGCCGCCGCGGGTGCCGCGAGGCGTGCACGTCTAGCGTCTCCTCCCCCACTTTTCCGCTGCGAGCAGGCGGCCTGAGATGCTCAAGGGGTGCACGCTGATGCTCTGCGACACGGGCGAGATGTAGCCGAGCGAGGACGGCGTCGGAGCACGAGGTGACTCTCTGAAGGGAGTGGTTGGTGACTCGCAGGCGCCGACCCAAACGAGGACGACCTCTGCGCGGTGCTGGTGCTGCTCAACGTGCGGCACAGCGAGAGCGAGCCACAAACAAAGAACACCGACACCTCTCGGCAGAGACGGGTCAAGGAGAACGGGCGGTGTGCAGGGATCTTTGAGGGGTGTGTCGGCGGCTAGCCGGGGTCGTCCTCCCGACGGGGACTAGCACTAGCCGCGATCGCCGCGTCCTCACACGGTGCTTCTCCGCAGGTGCTGCTGCTTGCCGACGGCAAGCTGAACGTGTGAGTGCGTGGGGGTGGGGGCGGACCGCAAAGAGACTCGCTCCTGCCGGTCCTGACTCCTCTGAAGGCAAAGGGCGGGGGTTGGGTGTGTGTTGTCTGTGACTGTGGGGGGGGGGGGGGGGGGGCCCCTCCTGCGGAGGGGGAGGGAAAACAAACCCCCACCCCGTTGAGCGGCCCTTAACCCTTTTCCATGCCCGGGGGGTCCCGCGGCCCCCCGGCCCCGGGGCCCCCTGGCCTGCCCGTGGGGCCCAAACCCAACCCCCAGGGAATACCCCGAGCCCCTCCCCTAAACTCCCTCATAAACCGTTTTTGCTACATAAAAATCAGCTCCCTCGCCCGGGTTTACCCCTTTAAACCCACGCCTCGCTGTTTGGGGTTTCTAAACACGAAGTCCTCAACCCTTTGCGGGTTGTGTCCCGTTTTTTTCTGGAAAGAAGGAAATGGGGTGCAAGTTTCTCCCCCCCGGCACCGGGCCGGTGCTTGCACTTTGAATGCCGTGGGGCTCCTGCCCGTGTGTCCGGGCGTGGAGATGCGAGGGTCGCACCCCCTTGCCCCACCACTTTGTGTGTGTGGAGACGTTTACCTCACCTTACCGCTTACCTCAGCCTCCGGAGGCCTTAGGGGACCCCTAGGCTTAAAAGGGTGGGCCCTGGGGCGCCTGCGGCTTTCCGGCTTAAACGGCTAACTAAAACTGGCCCAGGCCGGTTTTAAGAGCTGCTGGGCCGCCGATTCCTTAAACGGTCTTAAACGCTTAAACGGTGCGGGAGAGCTCCCGAGGTCGATGGTCCCTGAGCCCTGGTGTCGAGGTGTCGAGGCCCGGTGTCGAGGGTGTCGAGCTGCTGTCGAGGCCTGTCGAGGGATAGAGGTGTCGAGGCCTGTCGAGGCCTGTCGAGGCCTGTCGAGGCCTGTCGAGGCCTGTTGAGGCCTGTCGAGGCTGAAACCATGCTTGACCGTGTCGAGGGGTGTCGAGGGGTGTCGAGGGTGTCGAGGGTGTCGAGGGTGTCGAGGGTGTCGAGCAGGTGTCGAGTGTTGTCAAGGGGTTTTGCGTCTAAGGTGTCGAGGTGTCCAAGGTGGCAGGATGCAGTTGCAGCCCATCAACAAAACTTGGGCAGCAGTTGCAAAGCTGTTTCATCCCTTAGTTGCAGCCTCAGTTGCACCCTGTTGATGTAGCACAACCTGAGCACAACCAGTATACTCTCTGTGGACATTTGAGGACATCAAGTGCCGGGAGTCATTGCCACTGTGCACAAAGGTACTGTGCAGGCGCAGCACCGCAGCAGCGTCGCCGCTGCAGCAGCGTCGCCCCTGCAGCGTCACCGGCGCACAAAGCGCAACTGACCACAGCGCTCATGGCACAAGGCTGGTGCCATGAGTCAGTGGACATTGCCACTGCACAAGGTGCTGTCCAGCAGCTAAGGGCTGCCAGTACCCCATCGCAGCAGCGTCGCCGCCGCTGCAGCGTCGCCGTTGCAGCCGAGCGTCGCCAGTGCACAAAGCGCAATGGACCACAGGTCTGCACTCATGGCACAAGCTCACTGGTGTGAGGATTCATTGCCACTGTACAAGGTGCTGTGCAGCACCTGAGGGCTACCTGAGTACTGCCATGTTTGCTGCATCAACAGGGGTGCAACTGAGCTGCAACTTGAGCTAGAACTTGAGAGGCTGCAACTCAGGGATGAAAGTACTGCCAGCCAAGTTTGATTGCTGCTGCAACCCTGATTTCTAACTCTGACTCCAATGGGTCTACATCTCTGCTGTGTTAGGATCATCAGAGGTGTCGAGCGGTGTCGAGCGGTGTCGAGCGGTGTCGAGGGGTGTCGAGGGGTGTCGAGGTGTCGAGTTTGGCACCTTGACACGGTCGAGCATGGTTTCAGCCTAGGGGGTGTCGAGGGGTGTCGAGGGGTGTCGAGGGGTGTCGAGTTGGTCGAGTTGGCATGGGGTGTCGAGGTGTCGAGTTGGTGTCGAGTTGGTGTCGAGGTGTCGAGGTGTCGAGGCCAGGGCTCAGGATGGTCCGGGAGGCTCCCGGTAGACACGCCGGAGGCCCGGGCGGGAAGCTGGCTACAGTCAGCTAGCACGCGTCCCCTATGCGAGTATGGCTCCTACCAGTGCACCAGACTTACAGATGTGTCTTCAGAGGCGGGTTTGTGCCTAATAACGGCAGTATTGGAGGAAACCGCGGCGCGGAACCCAGCGACGCATGCTGGTGAGGCCGATTTCTTAAACGGACTTAAAAGAGGGACCCCCCGTGCCTGCAATCTCTTAAATGGCAATTTAAGCCCCCAAACCTCCTCATTTCTTAAAAGGTCTTAAAACAACCCGGCCCTCAGAACCCTAGGGGTCCCCTAAGCCGCCGCGAGAGCGACCCAACTCGTCGACATCGTCCGATGATGGTGCCTCAAAGTCAGCCTCCGGAGGCTATCGTGGGGTCGAGCCGGCAGTAGCCGTGACATGTGGTTCCACCACCCCTCGTATGCTTTGCCTCTGACCGCCACCGTTCCCAGGCTGCCTAATGGGATGAAAAGGAAGGCTGGGCGAGCGTATAGAAGCGACCTCGTCGTGGCAACCTGCACGGCAGCGCTGGCAGGCGCGATGAGCGTCGAGCCACCTGACCCGAGAGGGGTCGCAGGCGTCGTACCGAGCGCGTCGAGACCGTGTACTGATGTGCTCTGCACGGGTGAGTCACGTCGTTGTCAAAGGAGCGACGTGCGACCTGTCAGAGCTTGATCTCCGATCTCAGCGGCGTCGACCGGTCGAGTCGTCTCCGGCGGCGACAATTTTGTCCCTCCCCAGGACGCGCAGACCGCAGAGGCAGCTGCGATCGGAGATCAAGCTCTGACAGGTCGCACGTCGCTCCTTTGACAACGACGTGACTCACCCGTGCAGAGCACATCAGTACACGGTCTCGACGCGCTCGGTACGACGCCTGCGACCCCTCTCGGGTCAGGTGGCTCGACGCTCATCGCGCCTGCCAGCGCTGCCGTGCAGGTTGCCACGACGAGGTCGAGCACGCTTCTATACGCTCGCCGAGCCTTCCTTTCCATCCCATTTGGCAGCCTGGGAACGGTGGCGGTCAGAGGCAAAGCATACGAGGGGTGGTGGAACCACATGTCACGGCTACTGCCGGCTCGACCCCACGATAGCCTCCGGAGGCTGACTTTGAGGCACCATCATCGGACGATGTCGACGAGTTGGGTCGCTCTCGCGGCGGCTTAGGGGACCCCTAGGGTTCTGAGGGCCGGGTTGTTTTAAGACCTTTTAAGAAATGAGGAGGTTTGGGGGCTTAAATTGCCATTTAAGAGATTGCAGGCACGGGGGGTCCCTCTTTTAAGTCCGTTTAAGAAATCGGCCTCACCAGCATGCGTCGCTGGGTTCCGCGCCGCGGTTTCCTCCAATACTGCCGTTATTAGGCACAAACCCGCCTCTGAAGACACATCTGTAAGTCTGGTGCACTGGTAGGAGCCATACTCGCATAGGGGACGCGTGCTAGCTGACTGTAGCCAGCTTCCCGCCCGGGCCTCCGGCGTGTCTACCGGGAGCCTCCCGGACCATCGACCTCGGGAGCTCTCCCCCACCGTTTAAGCGTTTAAGACCGTTTAAGGAATCGGCGGCCCAGCAGCTCTTAAAACCGGCCTGGGCCAGTTTTAGTTAGCCGTTTAAGCCGGAAAGCCGCAGGCGCCCCAGGGCCCACCCTTTTCAGCCTAGGGGTCCCCTAAGGCCTCCGGAGGCTGAGGTAAGCGGTAAGGACTAAGGTGAGGTAAACGTCTCCACACACACAAAGTGGTGGGGCAAGGGGGTGCGACCCTCGCATCTCCACGCCCGGACACACGGGCAGGAGCCCCACGGCATTCAAAGTGCAAGCACCGGCCCGGTGCCGTGGGTGAGCAACCTGCACCCCACTCCCTCCCTCCCAGACACAACCCGCACACAACCCGCACAGCGTTGACGACTACGTGTTCAGAAACACCAAGCAGCGAGGCGTGGGTGTGAAGGGGTAAGCGCGGGCGAGGGAGCTGACTTTTATGTAGCAAAAACGGTTTATGAGCGAGTCTAGTGGAGCGGCTCGGCGTATTCCCTGCGTGTTGTGTTTCGGCACCACGGGCAGGCCAGCGGGCCCCGCGGCCGGGCGGCCGCGCGACGCCCCGCGCATGGACAACGGTCAACGGCCGCTCAACGCGCTGCGCGTCTGCTTTCCCTCGCCCTCCGCACGATGTGCCCCCCCCCCCCC